AGAGAGAGAGAGAGAGAGTAAGCGTAAAAGAACACTTTAAAAGTTATAAGTCAAAATGTTACTCACAGGGACCGGTGTCACACACTCATAATACATGCAACCGTAATCGTCAGTGCTGGGAATGATAAATGAACATTTATATTTTATTAAATGTATCTAGAGAACACTATTTTTTTAATGAACACACGGAAAACGAGAGTGCGCGTAAGAATTAATATTGAACCGACAAACGAATTTTCCTTTGAGAACCCAGTCCTTTTCAAAAGGCTACCGACACACATCAAAGAAGAAGCCACGAGGACTGATAATTCCTAGTTAGGTATTCATTGTTGTGCAAGGATAGCCATTACTTACGACAGGTTAAGCACTTCCAAATTTACTAAATCGATACCATGTGTGACCACCTGCCGCATCGATGACTGAATTGTAGTCACGATGCATAGTAGTGGGTTTTTGTTCGGGGTTTTTTTGTGTGGGTTTTTTTTTTTGGGGGGGGGGGGGTTACGTTACGGCATAATGCCCATTCTCTTACTCTGACTTCAGATCTCCAAACATGCAGGCAGGCACCTCTGCTAAAGGACATCCGACTAGGACGCACTCAAAGTCTGGACAGGGACCGCCGTTGTAGCTGTGGGTAGAATGTGGAATTTTTAAAAATGTTGATATCCTGTATCAGGCGAAAGTGAACAAGCTTATACCGCCACACCGTAGACGCTGGTGTCCAATAACGGACATTCTTTGTAATGAACCAGGGCCATCTAAACCATATCCTGACATGCATGCCACTAAAGTACTATTGGCGTAATATGAAAACAGCGCATTATGCATAACCATCTCTTAACTTGTTAAAACTGTAATGTGTGAATGTAGAAATTTAAAACGAGATTTACAAGAATCTGAAACAAGTTTCTTTTTTTAAGTATAGGTATTTTACATCCCTATCGGTACGATTTAGGTGATTTAAGAGGAGCACTTTATGCCTGTCTGCCAGAGCCAACCTGGGTTGAAAGAGGTACAAAGTTCTTTTTTTTTTTAAACCAGCATAACGTATTTGATAAAATGTCTACCCTCACGGAAATCGATTTGTGTGTTGTGCGTGCGACAACGAAAGCAGGCAAACCACTACAGCACATTCAACAAGCTAAAACGTTAATTAAGTTTAACTATTAGAAATCTTGGCAGACAATGGCCCAGACCTTGTTTCTATTTCAAAGCCTGGGGGGCACGTCGTCATCAGTGGACATGGCCGGGTTGGTGTGGGTGGCGTAGTCTGAAACAAAGGACGAAAACAAAGTGAGAAAAAATAAGCATATTATTCACTACTTTAAAACCAAGAATTTCGGCTCGCAAGAAACGTTTTCTAAAATGATTTATGAGTGATCCCTATGGTACATTAATTAACATAATACAAACTCTTATAAATATATAAATATATATATATGTAGGTAGGTGGGTAGGAGGGTAAGAGGGTAGATAGATAGATAGATAGATAGATAGATAGATAGATGGATGGATGGATGGATGGATGGATGGATG